AATGGAAAACCAAACTATGCCTAAATGCAATGATATGGTTGAATCTTACAAACATAATGATGAGTGAAAAAAGTTAGACAGAAAATAGTTCGTATTGTACGATTCCATATACATAAAGTACCAAAACAAGCAAAGCTAAACTATGGCATTAAAAGTCAGGAAAGTGATTACTCTTCAGAGTGTAGTTACTGGAAAAGTGCAGTGGAGGGTAAGAGGGTTTCTGAAATGCAGATAATGTTCCTTTTTGTTCTTTTTTAAATCTGGGTGCTGGTTACTTTATTATGTCCATTTTTTGAAAAATCATTAAGTTCTACATTAATTTTTGTACATTTTCTTTTATCTGTTGTTATACTTCAATAAAAAGTTATTTTAAAGACTGCAATGTTTTATTCTTGGTAGGTTAATAGCATAATATTTACACTATAAATGTAATACTATTAGACTTTTATCTTGCTAACCAGATAAAGGCAGATAATAAGCTATAGGTTTGTTTTTTTTTAAAATGATTTTTATTTCAGTTACTGACTAAAAGACAATCAAAAGAGATTTCACTCATCTTAATATAAGAAAATGTTTTTAAACTCTAGTTTCAAATCCCATTCCCATCCATCATTCTGGAATTAACTAACCCATGTTATTGTAATTCAGGTTTAAGCAAATATTTTAAATAAAACTATTAATAATTAGCAGTTGTTCACTCAGGCTGCATTGTCAAAGTCTATAAAATTCTTCTCTTTTCTGCTAAATTAGCTTTATTGCTTAACCTCAGAATGGATGAAGAAAACTTTAAAATAATATAGCTTAGGAATGCATGTCATGATACGGCTTCTAAGCATAAAGTTTCAAACTCAACGTCTTTCTTTTTCGCTTTGCAATAGGATCTTTGAGTAAACATGTTGCATGTGTTAAAAATCAGAATGTAAAACTCTGAAAAGTCAACACTTTTCTACCTGAGAGTTTCCCATCCTTCCATTTATAACTAAACATTGAGTCGTAACCTCAAAATTTAAATTGTTTTCTTAAAAACAGAGAATATGACAAAAACAAATACCTACGGATTATCTATTTAAGACTGTGTTACCAATTCTTACAGTATGTCATCACATATGAAATAATAGCTTTTGATATAAATATTTTATTAACTACAAGAAGGAAAGGGGCAAAAAGAAAACACAGGCATGCAGGAAATAAAAGTTTATTTAAAAATTTCCTTTGTAAAATAATTCTTGACAAAGATGAGTTAGTGGAAAGAATAAATATCCTGAGGCACACTACAATATTGCTTCCAATAGGTTATTCTGAAAAGCAATTTTACTGTTAAAGGATGTTACCATTTACTTCCCTGAATATCATGATGCTATGATTACAACCTATGTTTTGAAAAGTTTTCCAACTTCCTTAAACAGCTGTAGAGTACAGGTTTAAGGGGAGAAAAAGTAGTAACTATGATGTTCTTATTAATATTAATGAACATTATGACCTTTCAAACACTGATTTTAAGTCACAGTTGACAAGTGATGGGAAGGCTAATAAATTTACTTATCTTTTCTGTAGCATAAACTGCTAGTTTTCTTAACTGACATTAGAAATTCATGTATCTTCAAGATAAAATTTGGATCTAGGTTCCAGAAAACCCATGGACAATGTTCCAATGCCATGGGTGCCACCATTCAGGCAGACAACTTTAGAAAGTCACCATCCCAGTGAACTGAAGGGCAGAGATACCACTCTATGAAAAGTGGTTGAGAAATCACATTTAGGTGGTTATGATTAAGCACATTAATTTTATTCCCTTTTCTATAATGAACACTATAGAACCAATCTAGTATGAAATTAATCTCTTTCTGCAAAAATTGTGAAGCAATAATAAATATTTGCAAGCTCATACTATATATAATTCAAAAACTGCTAAAATGTCATATCCCCACTTTCCTATTTTTATGAAATACCATGAAATACTAAACTCAGCTCAGTACATAAAAAGTCTATGAATATTTATCAAAACTTTTAGCATTAGCTTATTTTAATATTCTAGAACTCAAAGATGTGAATTTGGTTTATACTTTCAAAGAGCATTGCCCTATAAAATAGCGGAGTTGGAACTGTTCACTATACCAATTTTGATAATCAGGTAGAGTTTTTGGTACAAATGACCAAATATGCTTTGTGAATATTGTGATCACACCATGTTGACTTTGAATAAAGTTTTAGCTCCAAGTTCCAAATTCTTCCTTTAAGATACATTTAGAAATGCATTTTACAAATTTGTAAGTAAAACAAGTCGGAGAATTAACATATTATAGATCAGATCCTCTAGCTCTTATGTATTCAGGATTTGGAAACGTATTCTGCAAGCGTGGCAAGTCACTGAACCCTTCTTTATCAAAGTACAGTACAAATGATTAAAACTCTTACATGCTTACAAATGCCCTGTGACCTTCAGGTATTATGCAAGTACTAACTAAAGCCATTGAAGAGCAAAAGACCAGCCTTGCCTGCATATATAACTGTTACTGTTTTAGTAGGCTGAAAAGTAACATTTTTATGCTTTATATAGCTTATACATTGCATCTTTTTAAATCTTATGTTTAAATTTAAACTTCTAATTCCTAGTGTGAATAAAATCATTAGACTTTCCCTTTAAGAAAGAGGAATCTGGCAGGACTCAGTGGCTCATGCCTGTAATCTCAGCACTTTGGGAAGCTGAGTTTGAGACCAGCCTGGCCAGCGTGGTGAAACCCCATTTCTACTAAAAATACAAAAAATTAGCTGGGCATGGTAGTGTGTGCCTGTAGTCCCAGCTACCCGGGAGGCTGAGGCAGGAGAATTGCTTGAACCGGCAGGTGGAGGTTGCAGTGAGTCGAGATTGTGCCACTGCACTCCAGCCTAGGTGACAGAGTGAGACTCCATCTCAAAAAAAGAAAAAAGACCAGAAGAGAAAAGAAAAAAGAAAAAGAAAAAGAAAGAGGAATCTTTAAACAACTCAATAACAACAGAAAAATCAACTAGCCCCATTAAAAAGCGGGCAAAGGACATAAACAGACGTTTTTCAAAAGAAGATATACAAATGGCCAATAAGCATATGAAAAAATGTTCAACATCACTAATTATCAAATAAATGCAAATTAAAACCATAACATGATATTATCTTATGACAGTCAGAATGACTATTATTAAAAAGTCAAAAAATAACAGATGTTAGTGAGGATGTAGAGAAAAAGGTCCACACTGCTGGTGGGAATGTAAATTAGTACAACCTCTATGAAAAACAGTATGGAGATTTCTCAAAGAATTAAAAATACAACTACCATTTGATCCAGTAATCCCACTATTGGGTATCTATCTGAAGGAAAAGAAATCATTGTATAAAAAAGATACGTGCACTTGTATGCTTATCACAGCACTATTTATAATAGCAAAGATACGAAATCAGCGTAAGTGTCCATCAGTGGATGATTAGATAAAGAAAACATAGTATATACATACAATGTAGTATTATTCAGCCATAAAAGAGTAAAATCGGTCAGACGTGGTGGCTCAAGCCTGTAATCCCAGCACTTTGGGAGGCCGAGGCGGGCGGATCACGAGGTCAGGAGATCGAGATCGAGACCATCCTGGCTAACATCATGAAACCCCGACTCTACTAAAAAAATACAAAAAAATCAGCTGGGTATGGTGGTGGGTGCCTGTAGTCCCAGCTACTTGGGAAGCTGAGGCAGGAGAATGGCGTGAACCTGGGAGGCAGAGCTTGCAGTGAGCTGAGATCGCACCATTGCACTCCAGCCGGGGCAACAGAGCAAGACTCCATTTCAAAAAAAAAAAAAAAAGTAAAATCATGTCATTAGCAGCAACGTGGATGGAACTGGAGGCCATTATCTTAAGTAAAACAACTCAGAAAGTCAAATACTGCCAAATAATGTGTATACATGGACACAGAATTTGTAATAATAGACATTGGAGACTCACAAGGGACAGTGAGAAGGGGATAGGGGATAACAAATTAGTCAACAGGTACAATGTGCATTATTCAGGTGATGGTTACACTAAAAGCCCAGACTTAACCACTACACAACATATCCATGTAGCAAAACATCACTTGTACCCCTTAAATTTATACAAAAAAAAATTTTTTTAAAGGAAAGATGCTTACCTTAAGAAGCACAGTAGGTACAAAACTGTCTAGAGTATATATTAAGCTTATAATCACGTAGATAAGCTTATATTTTTGATTAGTTCTGCTTTTTAAGATAGCTGTATTTTATATACATTTATACTGTCATTGAAAATATACACTTCTTATCTGGCAAATTCCCCATTACTGCTAAGATTGTCAAACATTTTGACGAGCAATATTAGCTATATACATGCATAATACTGTTTATTTCTTTAAAAGAGTAAAGTAAATAAAGATAGCCACCTAAGGAACTAAATGCAATAAAATACACAAATATAAACACCTAAGAAATTTTACAAACTAATTTTTGAAATATTCTACTGTATAAAAATATAATTATGTGACATAATAGCTTTAGTTTATCATTTGTCTCATCATTTGGCAGCAGTCCCAAACAGGATAAACAGAAAGATATCTGATGAATTGAGAAATTAGTTATTATAAAAATCTTATTTATATTCACTCTTGGAGTATAATTCATTAATATTAAAAAACGCCCAATTCCAAATTCATTTATTTAACCTTAAAGGCACTGTATACTGGTAAAACATTATTACACAGATATAGAATTATTATGAATTTCATTATGCAAATTTAATCGCCCATTTTACTTTGCAGGAATTATATATGCCTTAATATTTTCATTCCTCAGAAATAATAAAATTACAATTAAAATAGTTTTTACTGAAAATTCAAATACAACTTTTTGGTCAGTGAGTATTTATGGCTTAATGTCACAGGCAAAAACAAAAGGAAGAAAATTGTAACCATTTTTAGTAGAAGCTACTTTCTATCTTGGCTTAGTGAAAGATGGGAGTCACTCTACCTCACAAAGCAGTAAGTCAATGATGTGGAACACCATGCAGAGTGGGAACTTGGCAGTAAAAAGAGTGAGAAACCACTGGGATGCATACATATGAGCTTCCAGGTTCAGATCACAAAAATGGCTATGCAGGTCCGGTAGCTGTTCCTAAAAGTCAAAGTGGAAAATTTAGGAAGAGGAGCAATGAGAAGCTTGCAGTAGAACAATGAAGTTCCTGACACAACTACAGCTTTCTGTGATCGCTGTAACTGTATTCTAGTATTGGTTGTCTTTTATATAACTGCGCAGAAGTGAAGACAGCAGATGAGAATTAGGGATATAACAGATAATTGAGGAAAATAAAAAGAGACTTAAGAAAGACTATCTCTTGCTTACTTGACTGTTCTTGTTTCTTGCAAAACGCTCATTCTATAAGAGCATCTGTAGTCTAATGAGTATCTTGACTCCAGGGTCAAGTCATAGCATCCCCATTCAGGGTTTATTTTTTTATTTTTTTTTTTTTTAGATAAGAGTCTTGCTCTGTCATCCAGGTTGGAGTACAGTGGCATGATCCTGGTTCACTGCAACCTCTGCCTCCCAGGTTCAAGTCACTGTCCTGCCTCAGACTTCTGAGTAGCTGAGATTACAGGCACCCTCCACCAAGCCTGGTTATTTTTTGTATTTTTTACTAGATATAGGGTTTCACCATATTAGCCTGGCTGGTCTCGAACTCCTGACCTCAAGTGATCTGCCCGCTTTGGCCTCCCAAAGTGCTGGGATTACAGGTGTGAGCCCCTGTGCCTGGACCAGGGTTCAATTCTTAACTAGCTAGAAAAGCAATATATCTTCTCTTTGGAAATCATCTAATGCCAACATTATCTGGGGTCTATGATGTTTCAGTATATTTTTTGAACACTTAGAAATTTCCAAAGTATGACAAACTATTTAGAAATCTGTCTTCAACATATTAAAAATGGCAAAGCAAAGAAAGTGTGCAAGGGTATAATTTATAAAATTGGATATCTCCTAAAAATGCCTTTATGGTAAATTTATTTTTTCCCAATTTAAACAAGAAAATGGTTTTCAAAAGCATGAACAGCAAGGTACAAAGTATTAGCATAGTTATTACCATAACTGAAAGACAAAGGCAAAGTCATGTAATAGCCCACCTCCATTTTGTTTTCATAAATAGACCACAAAAAGAAGAATAAAAAAACAAAATAAACCATTTATTGAACTACATGCTCTCTTTGAAAAATAGCGAAATGTGCCCATTAAGTACTTCAAATGGAATGAATGTCCAAATGCTCATTCAGTTAACTGAAAAAAAAAGTGCTAATAGAAAAATGTGGTTGAGATTCTTCATAGTACCACAAATTTGTTCTTTATTAGGTATATTTACTTGATTCTCAAAGCCCTTAGGAATACCGACCTTTGAAAATATATGAACTTTTTTGTAAATAAAAGGCAAAAAGTGAATAATCCCAAATATTTACTTGGTAAAATTAAATCGTTAAAAAGGAGCTTACTGCTTTTAATATCCATACTTACCAGATTCTTCTACACAGTCTTTTTCCTCCTTAATGCCCATTTGTCATTGTACTTATGGCTTGTTTTACATCCCTCCCTCCTTTTATTTCTTTTCAATTTTAAAGTCTTCTACCCTCCTACATTCCCTTCTCCGAATAAATTTTTCCTTTAACCTCACTGCAAATTCATCTTCTACTGCCCTGTTCTTCTAATCTTTCAGTCTCCTATTTGCTTCATTTCCCTCTTTAGACACCTGCAGATCCCCTGGCAGTTCATATCAATGAGTTCCTACTAGCATCTTCTGCTCTCACATTCTACTAACCTCCTTCCTCAACCATTTTACCCTTCCCCAAGATGGAATCAATCCATCCATGTACTTCCTTCACATTTCTCTTGGATTCCCAACACCCCTTTTAGACAAAGTCACATAAACATGCCACATAGACCCATTATAAATTTAAGATTATCAACTTCGGGTGGAACTCCAAAGTTAGTTAAAAATTCCTTTTGTCAGCTCTGGTCAATCACTTTGCCTGTGGTCACAATCTTTTTTACTATGTAATATTTGGTATATATAAAAGGATGTATGTTTCTCACACACATTTGTAAATACGTATTATAAAGCACAACAACATTGAAATTAGGAATTATATTTAAAAAATTTTAAATATATCCCTACAGTATTTCCGATATGTTTTATTGTCTTATGAATATCCTTCCAGCTTTTCCAAGTGTTCTATGTAGACCCAAATAAGGAAGTCGTGCTAATTAGTATGGAGAAAGCTCTTAGGTATTTCAATTTTTACTCTGTAAATATCTTCATTCCTCTACAAACAATACTTGGCAATCTCTCAACGATTAAACTCATTAGATTCTCACTTCAAAGTATGTTCTATTTGAACATTTAAAATGCGAGATATTTTTAAAATAGTAAAATGGCTAAATAAACATATTATGATAGACCAATGCAGATGCTGGTCTGAAACTAAATCCATTTACATTTTCTATAATATTCCATTAAACTTCTATAATTCATTATTGCTTACCAACCCTATTAGGCTTTTTCTATGACTCAACAAATCCCTGAGTGATAAAAGTTCCTAATTTTTATTTACCTGCATTAGTCTCTCCAACTGGTAGAATTTGCAATGAAGATCTTCAAAGTTGTTTTTGTAGAGGTCTCTCAAACCATAGTCGTACATGATTTTCACCAAAACACAGAATGCTTGTTCCTCTGGCATCTACAGAAAAACATATACATATACAACATAAATAAGTGGCATTTTGCCAGAATGTCAGAGAAGTTCCCTCATGTTATTAGTCCTCTGCATAAGTAGCTGAAGTCCTGGAGCAAATGAAGTCCTTCAGAGCCAGTCTTTGGCAGAATGACATGACCTCCTTACTTGAGATGAATTATCCTCTTTTGTTAATTTTAATCACATTGTCATTCATTCATTAGGCCATCTTTAAAAATAGGCAATACACTCATGATTAAAAAAACCAAAGCACACTTTGGGAGGCCAAGGCAGCTGGATCACTTAAACCCAGGAGCTCCAAACCAGCCTGACCAACATGGCAAAACCCTGTCTTTACAAAAAATAAAAAAATCAGCCAGGTGTGGCAACATGAGCGTGTAGTCCCAGCTACTTGGGAGAATGAGGTGCGATGATCGCTTGAGCCTGGGAGGCGGAGGTTGCAGTGAGTGAAATCACGTCACTGCATTACAGCATGGGCGACAGAGTGAGACCCTGTCTCAAAAAAAAAAAAAAAAAGAAATTAAAACAATGTAAAAGGATCTAAAGGTAAAAGTCTCACTCCTCCCTATCATTATACATATACTAATATCTGGTACCTACATCCCTCAACCTCTTTTGCATAACCTCATATCTACTCTTAATAATTTCTCCTGTATTCTGCCACTGATTATCTATGCAAATAAAATCATTACATTTCTAATTTTATTTTGTCCCATCCTACATAAAAGATAATATTCTATATACATTGTTATACATCTTGATATTTCTTTAACAATATAAGTTGGAAATCTTTCTATCTCAGTATATAACGAGTTGTCTCTTTTCTTAAAAGCAATTACACAGTATTCCATTATATAGAATATATAGTACTATAGTTCATTTAACCAGTTTCCTATTGATACTTGAGATGTTCCTAATTTTTTAATCATAAAAAGCTTCAATAAACTTTGTATATGCATCATGTTGTACATATGCAAAAATGGGGTGGGGTAGAGCACATTCCCAAAAGGGGGAATGCTGGGTGAAAAAATAAATGCATTTTTAATTTTGTTAAATAGTGTGAGGCTCTCTTCCCTGAGTTTTCTTGATGCTGCTACTTTCTGTAAAATACAGTTTCAGGGAAATGGTCAGTAAACTCTAACATATTAGTTTTTTAAGAGGTATTTTTATCTGAATAGGGAATAAAGTCTGAAGTCAAAGGAACAAACCTCTAAACAGTGGTATCGACAGGTGAAAGAATATGGAAAAGGACATATCTAATATTCTAGAAATTACACCAAACATACAGAAAAAGTTGTACTTACTCCCCGTCCTAGGATGTAACTATTATATAAACATCTACTTTAAATATTACTTCCTTGAAAATTTACATTTGGTTGATTATGGTATTTCACACATTTGTCAGACTAACTTCATACTTCAATAACTGAATCAGGTAGAGTTCCATTTATCCACTTAGAAATGCAGTTGTTTATTTAAAAGTTTATACAAATCAGCCACTTCTATTTTCCAATTATAAACCATAAAACACCCAAATTTGTTAAATAACATCTCCAAAAGTTAAATAAATACACTACAGTGTTTTCATTTTGATTCTTTAAACATTTGCTTATTTTCTTTTTATCCATGAGTTGCTTGAGACCTTTTCAAAATTTCTGGCCACTGACCTCAGCTATTCAAGTTAGCAACTATTTTTCAGCTTCCATTTGGTTATTTAGGATACAATTACATTGTATTCTTTACTCCTTTGTCATCAAAACCTCAAGTGACACTAACTTGAACATATATGGCCAAGAATACTTCTCTTAACAAGTTGTAAGCCTCCTCATCTTCCTCTCAGATCTCTACTCAAATGTCTATACAAAACAGCTGCATGTAAAATAACTGTAGCCAGGCTCACGCCTGTAATCCCAGCACTTTGGGAGGCCAAGGCAGGTGGATCACCTGAGGTCAGGAGTTCGAGACCAGCCTGGCCAACATGAGGAAACCCCTCTCTACTAAAAATGCAAAATAGCTGGGCATGGTGGTGCGTACGTGTAATCCCAGGTACTGGGGAAGCTGAGGCAGAAGAATTGCTTGAATCCGGGAGGTGGAGGTTGCAGTGAGCTGAGATCGCACCACTGCACTCCAACCTGGAGTTTTGAGACTCTGCTGAAAAGAGGGAAAAAAAAAAAAAAAAAGATAACTATAGCCAGTCCTAGAGACACTAATTCACTTAGGTCTTTCTCTTTCTAAGTAAATGACAATTAGTTGAATGTCTTACCATCTGGTATCTTATAAAGGGAATATGTTTTTATTTCTTTGAATGTGGTAAAATCATCAGGGCAAATAAAAGGTTTATGTGCCTTTTGGCATTCATACATATAGTCACTGAACAGACGAGGTGCAGGCACTGTTCTAGGCTTTAGGGATACAGAGATAAAGGTACTAGGGGAAGAGTAAACAGGTAACTCAGCTTGAGTTTCACAAGGATGCAGAAGTCCTGGACTAGGGAATGTTGGGTGTTGGAAGTAAACGTAAACATCAGAGACAATTTTGGAGGAGGCAGAGCTAGATGGCCAAATAGCAATCATCCTTCAGCAATCATCCTCCCTCAAGAACACCAAATTGAACAACTATCCATGCAAGAAACACCTTCATAAAAAACAAAAATTCAGGTGACTGATCACAGTACCTGGCTTTAACATGATATCAAGGAAAAAGGCACTGAAGAGGGTAGAAAAAACAGTCTTACATTGTCTACACCACACCTATCCTATACCCCCAGCATGTGTAGAGAAAGAATCCATGCACTTGGGAAAAGGAGAGTGCAGGGACTTTGCATTGGTACTCAGTGCTGCCCTGTCACAGCAGAACACAACACAGGGCAGAATTTAGCAGGCACCCAAGAAGGAAGGATTTAGACTGGCCCCGGTCAGAGGGGAAGCCCCCTGGCAGACTAAAGTGCCCTGGTGTCCTGAACAAATTGAAAAGCGGTCTAGGCCATAAGTATTACAATCTTTCGGCAAGTCTTGCTGCTGTGCTTGGCTTGAAGCCAGTGAACTTGGGGTACATACGATCCAGTGAAACACCAACTGGGGTAGCCAAGGGATCAAATAGAAACAACAACAAAAAAGCAAGCATGGCTATACATACACCCCTTCCCCAATTCCAGGCAGGGCAGCTTGAGAGATACCCCTTTTCTGCTTGTGGAAAAGAAAGGAAAGAGTAAAGAGGACTTTGTCTTGCAACTTGAGTACCAGTTCAGCCATAGTAACATGAAGCAGAGTCCTGAATCCCCTGAGTCCAGACCCTAGCTCCTGAACAGGATTTCTAGATCCATCCTGGGCCAGAAGGAAGCCTGCTACCCTGAATGTAAAGACCCTGGGGCCTTGAATAAACACCAGCAGTAACCAGGCAGTCATCACTAGGTACCATGCTGGCTTCAGGTGTGACCAAGTGCAGTAGCAGCCATAGTAGCCAGTCCCAGCTGTGGTGGCTAGTCCTTGTGTCACCCTGCTCCTCAACTCCAGGAAGCCCAGCATGAGGAGAAAAAAACTCCATTTATTTGGGGGAAAGTGAGAGAAGAGAAACAGAGATTCTAGGAATGATGGAATTCTCTCAGATCTTACCCAAACCCACCAAGGCTCAATCTTTGCGAGTCTGCAAAAATTGCAGCATTATTTGGCTTGGCTCATCCCCTAATGCAGATATGACTTTAGTGACTAAAGACTTAGATCACAACACTTAATTCCCTTTAAAAAGCCTTCTCAAGAAGGATGGGTATAAATAAGTCCAGACTATGAAGATTAAATACCTTAACTTTTCAATGCCCAAATATCGATGAACATCCACAAGCATCAAGAATACCCAGGAAAACATGACCTCATCAAAGGAACTAAACAAGGTACCAGGGACCAATCCTGGAGTGAGAGATATGTGACATTTAAGAGAATTCAGAATAGCTACTTTGAGGAAGCTCAATGACTTCAGGACAATACAGAGAAAAAAATTCAGAATCCTATCAGATAAAGTTAACAAAGAGACCAAAATAATAAAAAATAATTAAGCAGAAATTCTGAAGCTAAAAAATTCAACTGACAAACTTAAAGATATATCAGAGTCTCTGAACAGCAGATGATCAAGCAGAAGAATTAGTGAGCTTGAAGACAGGCTATCTGAAAACATATAGAGAAAAAACAACAACAAAAAGAATATAAAGACATTAGGCATGCCTGCAAGATCTAGAAAACAGCTTCAAAAGGGAAAATCTATGAATTACTGACCATAAAGAGGAGGTAGGGGAAGAGATCAGAGTAGAATACTAGAAAATAAATGGACTGGAGTTGAAAAGTGATGCATAACAGTAGAGCTGCAGCACACCGTTATATACCATTTTTATCATACAGATAAAACAGACAATGTAAATAATTTCAAGAGCACAGACAACAATAAAAAGTGGTAACATACTAAGAAGTGATGAATTTTGAATACTTATTACTTTTGTTTTTAACATGAGTTATTTAACTGTAAATTTTTATCATTTAATTTTTAACAATGGCTGTGCTTAACAACTGGTTCACAGAATTCCTGAGAATTTAACAATTGGCCCTCAAAAGTTGGTATGATCTGGCTGTACATAGCACTGATATGACCATGATAAAGAGTTAGGAGTGTATTCTAAGTGCAGTGGGAAATCAGTGAAGACTTTACAGCAGCGGATCTGATTTTTATTTTTAGTAAGGTCACGCAGCTGCTACCAATTCCTCATTAGTTCTCAATACTGAGGGACAACTACACTTTGGTTTAGTGAGAATCTATCACTTTTCTTTTGTATAAAGGTATAATCTACAAGAATCTATATTCAATCATTCCCCTCAAAGTTTTGCCCAGAAACAGATCATGAATATACAAAAGGCGTTGCAGGGGAAAAACATGATTTTGGAATTATACCAATAGATGTTAATTTCAGGTAAGGTTTTAATTACTTGCTGGGTGACCTTGAG